TAGATACAAGATGAAACGCGGATAGGTGTGTAAGACCAGGTACTTCCGTGACCACAAAGGGTCTCTCTCGAGTGCTCTGTTTACCCTCTAGACTGTCAGTCCGTGTCCCCCTCTTCCAATTATTATTTCCTCCACCCACAAAAAAACGCCACCACGTCCCGTTCGACTGTGGGTATATCTCGAAGGGTAGTCTTTCTGTGTGTGTATTCATTATTCCTTAATTATTATCTCCACGTGGGTGGTAAGCACACGCCAACTTGCAAGTTTCTCCACCGTTCGTGTCCACCGTTCGTGTCCGCCTCATCTGCCTTATCCTTAGCCGCAGTGAGACTTTTTTGCGCGTGCACGTTGGGTTGAGCGTTTGTCAACAAAGAACCAGTTCAACAAAGGCGTCAGCCAGGACATTCAGACTAACTCAGCCATGTAGCCACAACAGCAGCAGCAGCAGCAGCAGCAGCAGCAGCAACACCACACCGAGCCAACTTGTTTCCAGCATCCCTGACGGTATATAGCCTCCCTGCTGTGAAGGAGCAGCGGCAGAGAGGGGCTGAGGGCTGCTGCAGCAGTTGGGCCGCCACCCAATGTTCCGAAGAACCGTTCCTGGTTCTTCGGGAGGTTTCCACATCCAACAATCACACATCGGAGAGATCCTTTGCACCTTGCACCCTACATTGCGAGGATCCCCCTTTGCCCTGAGGTTCACGATCAAGCTACTGGCGTGTGTGAACACGGGATGTCTGTGCGAAGGAAGGCGTTCAGGTGTGCGAGGTTATTTTTGTTCCTCGCCCTCCTCTGGCCAATGGAGATTTTGCGCCAAATCCCACGCAGAAGAAGAAATGCACGCTGGGCAACGGCTGTCTATATGCGTATCACAACCGACAGATATCTGGCACTTTGCCTCCCTCCGATGGGTATGCTACGTGCAACATGCGTCTTGCTGGGAAGACTTAGGTATGCAACGGCGGTAGGTGCCGAATTCGACATACCCAGATGCTGCTCCTGTTTCACAAATAAATAGAGCGGGCACGGAAAATCCTGCCCTGCACAAATTAAAAGCTACTAACGTAGTCTAGAGGCAAGCACTGGGTATGTCTCTATAGTTAACCTCTGCTGCTGCTGCTCTTGCGTGCCTGGAAGATTCTCGGCGCTCACCTCAGAGGGCCGAGGATCGAAGAAGGTGGGAGAGTGGACGTGAACAGACGCGCCTGCATGAAAAATGTAGTCTACAATATCCGTAGCGAAATTAAAAAAAAACTTCCAATGGAGCTAGAAGAGCTCCACGAGAAAATAAAGTTCCCGTGGTAAAGAACAGACTCCACATATGGTAACTCAAGCCTGCGACGAGCCCGCCCAAAATTGGAGGTTCTCAAGCGGTGCCGCGATGAGGCATGCCGTAGATTCATTGTGTGCGACGACAACGGCACCATCACCAAACGGACAGATAAAATACCGTCATGTTGCAGTTTTTTCGCACGTACAGCTCCGTCTCGCCGGTGGGACGGGGCCAAAGCAAAGAAACGTCTAACCTCTCTCCCCCCCCCCTCATCGAAAAGGCGGAAAGTGATATCCACAGGATAGATAGATATTTACTAGATAGGATAGGGAAAACATTTTTTGAGACGCCTTTGGCAAAGTAGGAAGGAACGATTGGCCATCGGTGATCGGTCCTGTGAGAACAACGCTCCGTCCTCTCGAGGACGCACGCACACCTGGTCAACAGTCTAAGAACTGAGGCATGCAAAAAAACTTACAAGTCACACTGAAAGGACTTCACCACATCCCTTTCGACAGACTGTGGTTATATCTCGAACGGGTAGTCTTTCTGTGAGGTTATGTTTACTTTCTAAAAAAAGAAATCGTGGGAAAAAAACTTTCGCTGACGCTATGGATCCATTGCTAATCTATCTTAGTATTTTCTTAGATAGAGATGGATTCGTTGGGTCATACTAACAAACCAACAAGAAACAGTCGTTCCTCCCCCCTCACATCCATCATTACCCGCCTTTGTTTCCCTTTCGGTGAATTTCTAACCAACACCGAAACAGGAAAAGAAGACCATAAAAAAAATAGAGTCTAACCAATACAACACATTTTCAACCATACACACACACTGCTTGTCTTGACAGCAAAAGCAGCAGCAAAGCATCTGATATCTATGGCAGGGAACCCCAGATGATGAACGCAACAACAAAGACTGCTACCACAAATCCACGCGACGAGCGTCACCCTGGTACTGTTTCTTTCTCCCTCCTGCTTGGTTGGGTTTGCCAGCATAAAGATACGTGTAGCTGCCAGCGTACAACATCTTGCGGATGGCTCTAGCAGGATGCTTCTCTGATGCACCACACACAAAGAGAGAAACACAATAGGAATAGGAGAAGCCCAACAGACCGCGCTCACTCAACAAGAAAAATTGACACTAATACAATAATACTCCCACCGAGATAGATCCGAAAATGTTCCAGATTCACTCCTAAAATTACGCCTCCTCCTCAAGACAAAACAAAGGGACACGGACACACACACCAACTCTGGTAAAACAGAAGCATCAAGAGGAAACAGCATGACGAACCGGTCCAGCTCCCACGAGATCCCCTCAGCATACATGCGCCACAGCACAGACAGGTGAACACCGACAACAGCACCCAGTCTTCGATTGACATATTGCGGCTCTTTCGTACTACTGTCAGAGCACACTTTTCCGCACAACAGCGTCCAACCCCCCGTAAGCATCGCGCACAAATAAGAAACACTCAGCACGATGTTTTGGATCGATTTCTTAGCACCGAATATTCGGAATCCGATACCACACAACTCTCAACATTTTCACCCCCCAGCATGTCGCACGCGAAATACCTCACACCGATAAGCCCTGTGTCCGCCATCGAACGCGTTTCTCATGTGCACGCCCCAAGTTCTTGAGAAAAACAATCGCCGCGAAGTTCGAATGGCGGTCGAACCGAGTCGCTCTCTATCCCGCCACCATGGCAATCAGCAAGAATGGATACCTTCGACGGCCGGGCGCTCGACCCCTCGAGAAGTTATCATTCTCACATGAGCCTGTGCAAGCACTCGGTCTAGTCACTAACTCCCGCCCTCCATCCAAAAACACTAAAGACCAAAGCCAGACCCACACCGATTTCCAGACGTACCATTCATGAGGAAAAACAACATCAAGCAAACACTTTCAGAGCTACTCTTCCCATCATTTCGAAGAGAAAGTGAGAGAGACACACCGAGAGACAACACATGAAAAAAAAAACTCCCCTGTTTGTATCGGCGAAACTCTTAGTTGTCGTCGTCGCCAAACAATAAAACTCCTCGAAACTTCCTGGAAATTTCACTTTTTCGCTTCGAAATGTCCCTGCTCAGGACAACCTCTCCCCAAGCTGCGACGACGTTCGTCTGTTTCTCCCGCCGCTGACTGCCGCCGCTTCCACGAGGTGCTGCAAGGGCGTCTGCTGAATCAGCTCAAAGCGAAGCTCCTTCCAGAACCGCGCCCCCCCTCCCGCCGCCCCCGCCGCCGCCCCCGCCGCCGATGCCTCCGGGTGATAGTCGACCGGGGTGAGCTTGACGACGGTGTGGAGGGAGATGGGAATTCGGGGCATCTCTCGGAGGGAGATGTCGTGGAAGTAGGCATACAGGCAACGGAGAACCGCCTAGTATTGTCGTCGCCATTGTTGGTGGTGGCGTTGTCGTCGTCGTGCAACACAAGGTAAGCCACGGGGGATGACGCAAAAGCCCAGGCGGGACCGTTTCGGGAGTAGGAGGTTAGCAGGGTGAATTTTAATTTTCCATCTCTCGGGGCGGGTCAAATTAGCTGAATAGCGTATTCGTAGGGTCGTTGTGAAAATAATCCTTCCTCCAGCTTACTCGTACGTATCATTCGTTCGCGGTACGGACTGACTACCCATCAACCACAGAAATACGGCAAAACACAAGCCGCGTCCCTTCCCTTCCGGTCCGGCAGGTAGCGTGGCCCGGAGCAGTGCCTGTCTGTTGGTCGGGGAAATACCCCATCGAGGTTTTCGCTATTCGTTTGCAGCTGTTCAGATGTCCACCACTGAAGTGCCCACAGATGTTCAATTCCACCAACCACTGTCTTTCGACCCTAGGAATGTTGAAACATGGGATCTGAACGACATTTGGAGCTTTCCTGTTGATGGGGATTGGGCATTTCTACTTGAAAGGGCGCTAAACAAATGTTCCTCTTCTCACTCTTCAATTATTGCTTACCAGCACCATCTACAACGGGAAAGCTACCATCATTTACTGGTACCAGGTACAATACTAAGTTTTGAACGTCGTGAGAGACGACTGCTGTTGTTCTGCTGGAAAGCAACACTCTGCTGTACCGAACGTAACACAAGGTACCACCTCACACAGAACACAACACCGTTTGACACTATTTTGTGAAACGCTCAAGCGCTATCGCCGGGGTGTAGAACCCCACCTGAGGTACCACACTATTTTGTGAAACGCTCAAGCGCTATCGCCGGGGTGTAGAACCCCACCTGAGGTACCGGGCCTCTGGTTCTTGTTGTTATGATCGAATCGTTGGAAAACAAGAGTTCGTACAAGAGCGCCACCGTTTTTTCTTCTTTTCCGTGTCACAATTGTTCGCTCGTGTTCCATCTTCTGAGAACCGTCAAGTTGCCCAACAACACACCGCAAGACAAGCACTTCTTACTTTCTCACATACGCAAGTGGGAGAAAGCGATGGAAGAGGAACGAATATCATCTACTGCTGTACCTGGTATGTTGTATGTGTGAATGCCACCGCAGTAGACTGTCTCGTAGATTGTGACGTCAGATGACCTGTCGGAGATCTACCTACCTTCGGGGTGTTTCCGCAGATACAGTCGGTGGACAAATTGGATCCCGGTAGAGAGTACAGCGGGACAGCTTGCCCTACGCGCTCACAACCCGTTCAGTACATCCTTCAACCTGCTCTCTCGCGAGGGGTTAGGCCCTGGTGTGTCTGCACCACACGCCCCCAAAAGAACTGAGCCACAGTGCGAGCTTGGAGACTGCATGTCCTACCTAGTCTCGAGGCACGCACTCTGTGACTCAAGTTCTTTGGGTGTGTGTGGTGTGTGGACACGGCATGTTCAATCCATCGCGAGAGGGGAGGTTGAAGAGACAAACGGAACGGGTTGTGAGCACGTAGGGCAAGCTGTCCCGCTGTACTCGGGTTCAGTGTGTCCACCGACTCCATCTGTGTGGCAACACCCCGAAGGTTAATCTCCGGTAGGGTCATCTGACGATACGTCACAATCTACGAGAAATGATGAGGTAGCATTCATTCGCACAAGCACAGCAGGGGAGCTGCCCCCCTCATCGCACACCATTCTCCCCTTGTCACAAGAGGTGGAACTTGGGTGTGTTCTCCACACCATATACCACTCAATGGCCCTAGCGCGAATCTGGAGACAACCGTCTCAACACTTGCGTATTTGTTCATGTATTTGTATAGATATTTCTACCAAGGGTGTGTTCGGTAGGGCACGTACTGAGGCACACCGCCGGTAAGATACCGCCGGTATATTCTCTGCCGAGGTCTCGGTACGATCTTCACAGACTTCCACACCCTACCGAGCATACCCGTACCCTACCGATCACACCCTTGTGAATAATTTTACAATATCTTCACCTGATGAGAAACGACGATCACCGGACGGTCTTCCTTCTCCAGGGCGACGACCACCGGGTCTAGCCTGTTCACGACGTCGAGGTACCTGCGGCCACAAAGAGACACAAACGAAAAAGCCCGTGCACACCGACCGCCACGAATCGTAACGGTTCCCCATGCATTCGAGGGTGGAAGGATTCCGGGCGGCATCTGCCCGAGAGCTGAGCGTCTAAACAACGAAACGGCGACTACCACAGCCTACCGCAACAAATTTCAACAGCGCCAAAAAAAAAATGGCAACAAGAATGTTCGCACGAATTGTACCGGACGATCGCTCGAAAAGAGCCGGAAATAACCGTGACGACTCACCCCTCCCCTTCCGGGTAGCGATAGCACAGCTTGTCGACTTCTCTTGCGGTGAACTCGTCGGGGTAATCCCTCTCGACCTGCGGGAACAAAGCAGCATAGCCAACAATTGAGCATGGAACTTACGGATAAACTACACGTGACGGTTCAGTACCACCCGCCTGAAACTGCACTCCCATGACCCACTTCCCAAGCGCGTGTAAGCCAAAATCGTATCATTCATGGTAGATGGTAATAAATCCCTTGACAGTGAGCTTTCCACCCCATGGATCGCAGTTTGCCTGTTGTGGAGAAAAAAAAGGGCGTGATATACCGTCTAACAGCGGTGATGTTTGACGCCCCACGCGCACATGCGATCGGTACGCTACATACATGTGCAGCATGTGCCGTATGTTTTGTTCATCAAGGATTATCTGAGTACCTCTACAGAAAAGAAAAACCAATAAGATCTACACACCTGCTTGTAGGAGCAGCCGTTAAAGACGCCCGTGTCCAGTTCTGTCAGTGCTTGCCACTGGGAATACCGGTGGCATTTCACCTGAACGTCACGACGAAGACAGACGTCAAGAGGGTTGAAAGAAAATCCGCGGGGAGAGGAAGGGACGCCATGTCCACAGTCACGTCAGCGCTTGCCGATGGTCCAGCCGTATGCCTCGACAGTTTGGAGGAAACGAAAAATATCGTTATCGTCGTTGTGGTTGCTACTGCTGCTGCTGCTACTGCTGCTGCCGCTGCTGCCGCTGTTGTTGTTGCGGTGCAGTGACAGACAAAAAACGCACGCACACTTACCGCCCTGGCCGTCTGTGTCGCCCGTTTCATCGGCGAGCACCACACCAACAGGCGGCTCTGCCCCGCGCCGAGTTGCGCCGCCACAAAGTCCGCCAAAACGCCGGCATACCTGTCGCCCGTCTCCGAAAGGTTCCCGTCGCCCCCCATGGACTTTGTCTGATTCCCGAGGGATTCCCCGTGCCGGGTGAGATACACCGGGCATCCTGACACGGACGTTTGTACGGACGAATAGGGCATGTTGAAGCGTGGGGGAGGGGTACGTCATCATGTTTGGGATGCCTTGGGGGTTGAAGGGGGTCGGGAGTAGTCTTGAGGAGATTCTCACTCGTGTGTCTCCGTGGTTGAGAATGCAACACGATCATTCCCCGAAGAAGCAGCGGGAACAACGTTTGAGTGAGGTTTGGTATGGCGTGGAGGGCGGGGGGGGGGGTGGAAGATACCCATTATCATCTGAATCATACTCGTTAGACCATAGACACTGCACCGCTTCAAAACGTCTACATAAACGGAGACAGCCGGGTTTTCACCCACCAGGCGCGCATTGCACCAGGTGCTGGGGGGATCATCCCCTTCGTTGGAATGTGAATAATACAACCTTTTGGACCCGGAGGGGAACACTGCTGTGACCTTAGGACAGATACTTCCTCTGCGCGGAAACCCACCCCACCATAACCGGAACAAAAAAAATTCTCCATTCTCGCAGCAACCATGGTGGTTGGAATACCTCCAAAATCTGGTGCCTTGTATGCGTACGAAAGCTTTACGGGATGGAATAGGGAATGGATCGAAGTAGTCTCATCGTGGCCAGCATAAAACGTGCTCTAATTCTCCGGGGATACAAAGAGGCCCCTGCTGACTCTGCTACTGTACAGGTTCACCGTGCAATACAAGGCCCCCTGCAGCAAACCACACAGCGCAAAAACCGCGTGGAACCCCAGCCGCCGCTTCTTTGCGACCCAAGGACATGCACACACACAGCATGCAGCACGCCACGCCACGCCACGCCACGCCAGAAGCTACCAAAGCATGCACGGCTATAGGCCGCCAACAAGAAGAGAACAGCGAACGGTGAGTACAGCACGAGTCGTTCCTGTAGAAGGCCGCCAACGGGATTGGCCGGCCCCATGTTGGACACCCGGCACTTTTCAAGAGAATGTGAGACTGCACAACTTGTAATTTTCCAACAATGCACCCGCTTCCATCCCCCTACCGTGCCACGATTTCTTCATCCGCAGGGCCCCCGCGAAGGTCCCGACACGCTCAGCCAATGGGCACGCCTCGTATTGTAGCTGGCTCTGCACGTCCAGTCCCTGCCGTGAAGCCGAACACGCACGACGAAGGAAAACATGCTTGAGGTTGCATCAACACATAAGACTGCTGTTTACAGGTTTGTCAAGTTTTCTTTTTGGTTCGTTCATGTTCGCTTGGTTCTTCGAGTCAAAAAACGCGTCAGCTGTGTGAGCTGTCGAGCTTGCGAAACGTCACAACGCAGCTGCTGTGAGTTGGTCCTTGCTGCCTGCTTTAACCTTCATCTTGCATGACCACCCCTTGATGACACTGCTGTGCTCTCATCAGCCCACCCATCCGGAGGGATCACTTGTAATCATCTACAACACGATGCCAACAGCAAAAACACAGGCAAAGGAGTAGAGGGGTTTGACTGGCTCGTTGGTTGCTTGGAAAGGCCACGGCTCTAGCAAAGCGCATCGGCAGCAAAAGTATCTGCGCGCAGGCTTCCGTTTCTAAGGGAGGGAGCGAGAACAGAACAGCCGCTGGGAGTAGACTCGCACCCTGCTGCTCGTGGTGGTGGTCTACACTAGCGGCTTTCTGTCACGGTTGCATTTTTAGTCAGTCGCTTGAACCTTATCCACCAAACAGAAGGGAGGCAACCAGAGTTGGTCGTAAGCAAGGCGATATTGTTGGAGTTGTCAAAGGCGTTGCACACGAAAGGATACCCCACACCCAGAAGCAAATCGCCAACACCACATGATCGTCCGGATTAGCCCCGGCCCGAATGGCACCACCTCCGTTCTTCGGCAAAACCGCCAACAAATGGCTCGAACTATTTCGATACGTGTGTATGCGAGAAACATCGCTACGCGTAGAGAGAATAATCGGTACATGCAAAATTTACTGAAAATAAAACACACATACATACTTGTGTCTTCGTAAATGGCAGCTGGTTAGAGCGGTCCATGGCAATCAAAGAAAAAGAAAGTAGCAAACGCGACAGAGTTTGTTGTACCGCTAGAGATTGACGCCTCTTTTCATTGGTCAGCCGGTCAGCGCCGTCCATGCCAACGGACCAAATGCACACCCGTATGTATGACTCGCGTCTTTTCATTGGTCGGCCGGTGGGCGTAGCCCATCCTAACTAGAGAGACAAGAGACAGACAGACAGAGAGAGAGATAGAGGGACACACACACACAGAGAGAGAGAGAGAGGGACACACACAAACACACACAGAGAGAGAGGGACACACACACACACACACACACCTGATCCGCCAAGCTAACGAAGCAGCTCTTTCCCTTGCCGCCGGCGCCGCCGGCGCCGCCCCTCGCCCCCCTCCTCACCGACTCGTATATCACGTGCCCCCCGGCGCCGACAAGGCTACCCGACTGGAGAAACGTGTCCACGACGTTCCCCCCGAGACCCTTGGGCACGCCGCGGGGGAGCCCGTTGACCGACTTCCACGCACCCCCCACGCCGTTCTCGGTGGTCTCCGCCGCCCCTGTCGCTGTGCCCCCGCTAGAACGATGCGCCGCCGCCGTTTGCGGGTGACCGGAGCCCCCGGTGCGCGTAAACAGCGGTGAAGAGTAGGGCAGCAGGGTCGGCGACCGCAGTGGATCGTCCGCGCCGGTGCTGCTGCCGCCGTTGCTGCAGCTACTGCTGCCGTGGTGGTACAGCCCCGACGGAAGGACTTCCACCCAGAGGACGCCCACGTCGGGGCCCGCGGTCTGCCGCAGGAAGCCGGGGAGGCCCTCCCTCCCGTGCCGCGTGCTCGCCCACCCTGAACCCCTGTCGTCCGGAAGAGGGGGGGGGGGGGGGGGGG